CTGCTTAGAAATGAGGGTGGAAACAAGACTTGGATTAATCCAGTCATAACCACCACCCTTATTCTGTCAGTAAGCACAAAGTGGATATAAAACTATGAATGAGAAATTATCATAGGTTAGGACATCTAGGACAAGTATTTTATTACTTAAAAGACACACCAAATGGGATCTTCATCCCACTTGGCCCTGTTGTTGCTGTTCCCCCCCTTTAATGAATGATTTATTTTACAAACAGAATTATACAATTTCATACTTGTAGTTTTGTCTAAAAAATACCCCTAACACTTCAGTAGGTTCCCTATTATATGGCTGTATGTGAACTATTAAAGCTTTAACTGCAGGCTTCTCCCACTTCAGAGTTATTCAAAACCACTTTTGAATTAGATATTACTTGCTTAACAGAGAAGATAAGGCCCTAAAGAAAAGAATTACAGATTATGTAATGCAGTTGAAACAGAATACCAAACTAATTCCTATTGCTATAAGATTGACCTAGGAAAGACTGGTGAAATAATTGCAAACTCAATATAAAATAGTTATAATTATTTAAAGTCCTTGAAAACATTTGTAATGCTTACCTCAATGACTCTTGTTTCAAAATCTTCATAAGTTTCTGTTAGGAGAAAAACAAGGTATTACATTTCCTTGTATGATTTACATACAGGAAGCACAGCTTCCTGTAGGTGGTATCATTTAAGAAGAACAAAATATTAATGTAACTATTATAAATTATAAATTAATCTCAGCAGTAAAAAAAAAAAGGCAAGACATTTTTCAACCATACCTAAAATGAGCTTTATTAACTGCTTCCTTCTAAAAAGATTTCAGAAATGTTGGTTGGGTTTTTTTTTGTTTGGTTGTTTTTTGTTTTGCTTTGTGTTTTTTTTAAAATTCAAACCATTCATTCAATCTCATTTATAATAAGGTCTGTGAAAAAGGAGCATATGGCAGTTATTTATAAAGCATACTGTGGTTTTTTTTCATTTCTTCATTAAAATCCACATTTGTGAAGAAAACTAGCTTCAAAAATCCAGTTAAAATTATAACCTCAAAGAAAGTGTAATACTGCCCTCATTATAATTACAACACAGCTCCTATTATAATTAAGAGATGACAATGGTTAAACAGATTCTTTGTGCTCTACTAGGGACCCCAATCTCTTAACAGAAATCAGGATCTCATCTTTTTAAGTACCATACATGCAGGGAAGTAGGATGGAAATAGTCTTCAAAGACTGTTCAATGTAAATAACCAGAGTAGCAGAAAGGGAGGAAGTATTTTTTTTAAATGGTAAAGCAAGACATGCAAATTTAACTGCTTTATTTGAACAACACACAGAAAGAAAAGTTGATAGACATCCTCAGAAACTGTTGAATATTTTGATGACAAGCTAAGCTATATATCCTCTCTAAATTAAATCTGAAACTTTCTTTTGAAAATAACTGCAACTCATCACTTATATTGAAGCATTTTATTAAGTTTTATTTTATATTCTTCCTATTTCTTTCCAATGGCAGAGATGTTGTGGAAAATAATTACCGACAGTGTATCTTGTAAACAGAATGTTTTGGTTTTTCACTGGCTAGCAGTGTAAACTGTATTCTTCCCTAAATACTGCTCTAAAACTGTAAATGAACCCCAGATTCATATACACAGAGCAAAAGCTGTAAATGGCTTAAAAAAAAAAGAAAAAGTAAATCACCAAATGGGTCACTTCCATCATGGCCAAACTTACTATCCAATATTGTTCAGAATATTCTGAAAATTGCTTTTGACAATCAATAGGGATTCAAAGAAACTTCAAGTATTCCTTGATATATATTTCCATTAAATTCCAGAAAGGAGGGGAGGTGGAGGGGTAAACCAAAGCAATACATAGCCACTTCAAACAATCAAGAATCACACAGCCAGACTTCATTTTTTGTTCCATTTCAAATTCTGCCTGAAAACAAATGTATTTGCCATCAAATACAGTTATAACTTCATTTATTTTGTCAAGTAGCAGTTAAGGATTTTGCATTGTAAAATAAAGACTACTTCTGGGTCACATCTGTGTTCAAGGCTTTTCATCACAGTGGTAATGAAACACTGACCACACAGCTCTGTCTTTCAGTTTTAAGATTCAGCAACAGGCTGCCAAGTCCATTGTCACATCACTGCCTTCTGTGGAATTTTTGCTTTCAAGGAATAAAATCAAAAGGAGGGAAGTAAATATAGGAAATCTTTAATTTGTACACTGAGGTATTAAGCTGATATTAACATAGAATTAATTGCTCTTAAAACTGGAGACAACCAAAAAACACTCAAAAAGACTGGCAGGCAAACTGCTGAAAATCACAAGGTAAACCTGAGGGAAACAACAGATCTCGGACACTACAGCAACAGAAGCCACAATGCCAGCTATACCAGCTGCAGGAAAGGAAAACTGGGTAAGGGAACAAAGTAGTAGATAACAACAGCATAAATTTATAAACCAGAAAGCTACAAAAATGCCAGCATAATTTTAATCTGCAGACAAAAAGTCTTAGATCACACTGAAAAGACAATGATCTCACTAGCTTGGTTCATAGCTGGTCTGAATTTTTAATTTATGTCCAATAGAATGTAACCAGAAAATATTCAGACAGAAAGAAATTAACAAACAACCCATCAGGCAGACTGGGATGCAAAGGTGACTGCAAGAAGATCAGACAATATAATTGTGATTCCATTAATGTATTTTCCCATTTATGTTGACTTGCTGCAACATACACTCCAAGATTCAAACTTTTACTAGAAGAAAACATTTCTGGAGAAAGAGAGCTCCGAAAACATGAACAAATTTAACTATTAGAACTACTAGACCCTGCAACAAGCCTGAAACAACAGTCCTAGAAAACATCAACTATCTTCCTTAGCTCATCTTACCACAAAAGCCTACAGAAAGACAATAAACATACACATATTATTAAGTGCTTCATAAGAAAAACTTGGGTGAGTATGAGTAACAGTTCATTTTCATATTTAGTTAGTTGAAAAGGATTAGGCTTCTAAATGTTAAACAAAGCTATTACAGATATTCAAATGGTCCGAATAACAGCATTGTAAAAAAAGTTACGTTCACCTCTTCATTTAATGTATCAGAACTCTAGCTTCACTATGACATTTAACTAGGCAGCAAATAACTAAATATCTTCTATTAGCTACATTCAAACAACATAATCTTTAACCATATTTCATTACATGAACTAAAAAAAAAAAAAAAAAGCCTGATTTATCCCATAGGATCCTTTAAGAAACTATAAAAAACCGCATGGCTGTATTTCATGCTCAAGAAAATGAATGTTGGACACAGAAAAATATTTCCATATTTATGACTCCTGTAACACCCTACAACATAATCCGCTACTCTGAAATACAGTAAAACATCATACAGTCTATAATACTCTAATGGCTGTATTAAACTAAGCAGTGATTTAACAAATTTCACTTGTGTATACACAAACCTGTTCTTTCATTTAGCTTCTTTCTTCATGTATGGGCATATATGACAGAAATAGAAAGAAAATCGACCCTCAATTATAGAAAAAGTCTGGATTACACATACTCCAAGCCCTTTATCAAAAAGACTAGAACAGACATCCAGTTTTCTTACCTCCATTAGGACCTGGGTCAGGAGGATCCAGAAGGACACCTCCCCAACACTTTCCACTCCATCCTCCCTCTCTCTTAATTTTTATTTTTCTTCTCTTTTCCCAGGAATCTCTCTGCTGAACAATTTCAGACTGAATTCTCTCTCGTTCTTCTTTTTTTCGTTGAGTAACTGCCTGGACTTTCCCACTTTGTATCAGGGGAGCGTTAAGACCAGGCCAGAGGAAACCAGAACGTCCTTCAAAGTAACAGAGAAAAATTACATCTGATGCCAACAGGACTGAAACTCTGCGTATTGGAAAAATGTGATAAAATGAAGGCTCTCACATATTTCAAGTGCATTTTATGATAGAAAATTTATATTTAAAAACCAAAAATAACATTAAACAAGCAAATGAGGATTTTTTTTTAAAGATACAAATATCTCAAGTGGTTCTGATACCACAGAAATTAACAGCTATTTGCCAATTTATCAAATCAAGAAACTCTATGCACAAGAAGGACAAGACATATCTTGAGCCCCTCATTTGTGAATCTACCTTCACCAATCTCCTGGCCTCTATTGAGATTCTTTCTCAGCTTTTTCTTCCTTCGCTTTCCTCTTGCTTTCTTTACTCCCACACCAGTCTCTGCCAAAGCTCCTTTCCATAGTTCATCAGCTGTCACTGAAATAGAAAAGCTTTCATAAGTAACATACAAGTACATTTTATATTGGAAGCTGAATGAGAAAAACCTTGAAATATTAACCTTTGCTTTATCTTTGCTAGAATTTAAACTGTAGGATTACTGCCTTGCCAAGAAAGGGATTTCCTACTATATGATATGTATCTGTTACAGATGTGCCTCTACTCCTGATGATTGTAATCACATAGGCAAACAGCCAGGTGCATGGTTTTAAAAAAAGATTTTCAAAACTTATTTAAAGGCAAACATTCATAGCCAGTAAGGTACTAATTCCCAGGTGATCAAAAGAAAATGAGTTATTAGTAACTCAGAGTAACAATACCTGTCAGTACCTATCCAAGCACAAACATCAACGACAGTCAACTAGACTTACTCCTACAAATATCCAAGGATTAGCCTGCTTTAAAAAGCCAAAAACCACAAAAGTTTACCAAAACCATACACCTGCTGCTGTTCCCATGTTCTGATAAAATACAAAAAAAATACAAAGTCCCCTTTATTGCCTGTATAAATGTAAAGGAATGTAAGACATTTTAAACAGCCTCATAACAGAGCTTAGGCTTTGGTCAGGGGTCCTCATTCACTGGCTTTGTACAGTACAACCCCTCTCTGAAGATGTTTCACTCGACATATGAGAGAAAGTTTTAAGAAGTTTGTATTTAGTAGTTAACTTCAAACTACCCTTTGCCCAACTGATTGAAATACAGGGTATCCTCATAATTAGAAAAAAAAAAAAAAGGTACATTAAAATGAAACCGATGATGTGAAGAAGACACCACAGACAGTATTTCATTCTGTTAGTCCAGACAAGAAGGCTATCATCACAAAATACACAGGAATCATAATTGTTATATTTACAGATTAATGCTATTATGTATTTTGGCAAGGAACAATGTTACCATGTCAATTTAAATATCTTCTCTGATTAGAAATTGATTTTGTTTATTTAAAGTAACAGGAAAACTCAGTAAACACTTTTAACCAGGGGAATTAAAGTAACTATGCTCAATTCACTACAGTTTTCCAACATCAATTAATCCTTGTTAGATCTGCGCATGTGAGAGATCCTGTCTGGCAGGACACTGGCAAACGTGTTGGAGCTGCTACGTTGACAATATGATGAGTGACAGACACTACCCATGATTTCTAGAGGTTTGTTTTGTATTGCATAACTTTGTATATAGTGTCAACATGTCTCCTCTGAAGGTACGATGCCCATCTTTTCAATAAAAAATGCTTTTCAATTTTTTCCTTGCATAACTGTGATTCTCTTTTGAGAAGTACAATCCTGAATCAAGCAATCAATGCTCAGTACATTGGAAAGCAAGCATACAAGGAAGGACACACAACACCACAAGTCCAAGAAGGTACAGAATAGTATTCTCTTTAAGATGGGCAAGAGCAGAATGGCCTAGGAAGTCATTAATACCCAAGTAACATATTGTACGAATAGTACAATAAACCAAAGTATGTAATACAGACTTCATCTGTGTTACAGACAAATGGAAATTGTGTACTAGAGACAAGTAGAAATACCCCTGGATTGTCCGTAACAACAATGTTTATCATACTTCTCATATGATGTGAGGCAAGAACTGTGCTTGCTCCTGGGTAGGCTTCAGTTCCTGAAAAAAAAGAATTTCCATCTGAAAACCACTCTGTCTTTCCTAGACATTTAAGCGAATCCCCATATCAACAGATTTATGGTTAAAAAAACTCCACAAACAGTAAATATATCAAACTGATACAAATACTGTGTGCCGAAGGAAGGAGGGAAAAAAATACATCTTTAGCTGCACAGAACTCACCAAACAGAAAAACTTCACTGGTGGCTCAACATGTTACTTTTGATGAAAGCCAAATCATGATCAGCACTAGAATGCCTACTAATAATGATTATTACCCTAAGATAACACTGCACTAATGTTCAGTATAGAAGAAGACTCATGGTAAGTAGGTAATGCATGATGCAGCCTTTCATGTTTTAAAGTGGATGATACGACTGTTGCGTGAGTTGGAAGGTTGACGATTAATCACGTTAAGCTTCTTAGCCTATTCAGAAAACACTGTGTAACTAGCAATTTCTTTTTTTTTTTTTTTTTCTTATAATCCTGGCATGGAAACATGAAATTACAATAAAGGTATTTGACAATGTTAATTTTGAGCTGGAATAGTTTCCCAGTCTATTGCAGTTTGTGTGGTCTCATAAAGGGTCATAACAGATACAAAAGGAGGCTGCAGAGGGATGGCAACAAGCAACTGAGAGACTAGAACAGGGAGCTCCTGAGCTGCTAATACACTCAAAAACCCCCCAGCACTTTGAGCTGTATTCTATATATCTCTATGATAACATCACTTAATCCCAATATAGGAAAGTAGCAAAAGTCACAGAATAGGGAGATTGCTGTTGTACCAAAGGAGATCAGGCAATGCCAACATATCCAGTGAGAAGAGGCCAGACTGAGAAAAGCTTTGGCCTCAAGCACTGCAGAAATCCTGACAAAATTCAACGAGACAAAAAAGTCACATTTGATACCAAAGTGCAGTTCGTCCAGTCAGTCTATAATAATACCATCATGTGTTTGGAAAGCAGCTGAATTTAATAAAACATATGAGAAGCCTGAAAGCAATAGAACTGAGAATTCTTTGTAAGATAGCAGATACCACACTGACTTTAAGTCAAAATGGCAAGAATGGAATATGGAAGGGATAGGCTGCAGCCAAGAGTATTACAATGCTGGAGACATGGCTTACAACAGACAGACAACACCACAATGTAGAAAATAAAAAACTGACCATAAGAAACATCAATCTGACTTGGCAGCAAAGCACCAAGATGACTGGTGAGACCTCTTTTATTGGAGAAAATAACCCCAAACAGAAATGAGGATCACTGTGCTGCTTTTCACACTTGCAGAAATGCTCTCAAATCACAGAATCTTGGAATTGTCATAGTTGGAAAAGAACTCTAAGATCACCCAAGGGAAGTAAAAGAAAACTCTCAAAGACCCCCAAACAAAACCAACACCACACACCCCACAAAATCAACAACACACAACCCATAAAAAACCCACCATGCCCCCTAGAGCATGCCCTGAAGTGCCACATGTACATGTCTCTTGAGCACCTCCAGGGATGGTGACTCCACCACCTCCCTGGGCAGCCTGTTCCACTGCCTGACCACTCTCTCAGCACAGAAATTCTTCCTAATATCCATTCTAAACCTCCCTTCGCGCCACTTGAGGCCATTTTCTCTGGTACTATTGTTATTTACTTGAGGGAAGAAGCTAATGCCCACTCATTACGACCTCCTTTCAGGTAGCTGTAGGGGGCAATGAGGTCCCCCCTCAACCTCCTCTTCTCCAAATGAAACAATCCCAGTTCCCTCAGCCTCTCCCCATAGGATTTGTCCTCCAGATCGTAGAAGACAGTACAGAAGGTATGCAGTCTCATAGTGATTTGTGGCCTTACTTTTGTTTTGCCTGCATGCATTTCTCCAGTGCTAAAATAGACCCAGTCATAAAAGCCACCACACATTTCTAGTCTGTTACCGAAAAGTACGTACCTAATTAGTGAAAAAAAATTAAAGAAATCTGTCATTTTACTTGATGACCTAGAAAAAGATCCACTATTGAATTTTGCTGAAAGCATGCTGTATGCAAGCTGATAGCTAACAACTGCTAATAGTAAGTTTGTATTACACCACTTCATTTTCCTTAATCTATATAAAAGATGTTTGTAATATTTTGAAAGGGATTTGGTTTTTATACTATCCCTGCATTTCAGGAACCAAATAGCCCTAGTACTTAATTCAGAGGAAGACTATTATCACACACCACCTCAGTAATTCACAAGTATTACTAAAAAGATTTGCTGTAAACCATAACAGCAAACAGCATCCTAGATCTTGACAAATTGAGATTAAAAGCAGATTTCTTCGCTTCCAGCAAGATGAGTTCCCAGCTTGCTGAAAATATAAACTACAAAGACAAATAGCAGTAAGTTGTAAAATGAGGAGAGAAAAAGGACAAAGAACCACATTTGTAGAACGGCTAAGTAGGCTCACTTCTTCTACTTAGAAGCAATTTTTCCTTAAGTTTTTTGATGACAAATAGCCTTGTAGCAGCACAGCAGTAGAGACACAAAGACAGTAATAGCAATGACACAATGAAATGACTAATGAACATGTTGTAATAAACATGCTTCTTTCATTCAATGTACTGTTGCCTACTAATGCTATTACATCTATGCATCTATATTTCCTTAAGGAACTTAGTAAGGTCTTTTCAATCACTAACATTCTCTTCCAGGTTTCAGCTCAGAATACATACTTTCATTACCAGAGGAATTCTAAAAAGGTACAGTATTTCCAGCCCTTCTTTCTGTAGACACCAATTCTTTTGCCACCATCTCCAAAAACCCCCGTAGGATTTGAAAAAAAAACCCAACAAAACTTCACACACATGAAACATGAAAAAGCATCTGCTAAGGGAATGTGCTGCTTATGTATTCTATTAAAAATTGCATGATAAATTACACAGTCTAGACTCAGCTGCTTAATTACCACAAGGAGACAATTTTTCTCAGAGGCAGGTCAAAGGCTTAAGAATCAGTTCTTTTAGGAACAAAGCTTCACAAACCTCACTACACTCAAATGCAGTGGGCATTTTCTTGACCTTTCCTGACAAACCCATGCTTACCCATCTACAGAAACCAGAATGAATTCCTGTTAGATCATTTATATGGGTTCAAAAGCAGCCAAGCAGATTGCTAGAAGAAAAAGCTACCTACAGCTACAAATTCTAAACATTCCATGTCACAAACCACTGAAGATTGAGAGGTTTTCCTAAGGAAGTATCATTACATGCTCACTCAATTCTTACTTTTCTTCCCATAGCATCAGCTGCTGTTGGAGACGGTGCTCAGTTAGATGGACGTTTGGTCTGATGAGGAAAGGTTTTTCTCATGTTCTAGAAGTTAT